AATTTCCTTACAGACGAGAGAGGTGGCAGGGATGTACTTATGCAAGGTGAACTTAGAACCAAAAAATGGTTAACTCAGAAAAAGGTTCCAGATGAAATCAAACCTGCTAACATCATGATTCTTGCCCATCAATCAATCAAACCAGCTAAGCATCCTAGCTTTGATTTTTTTATGACAGCTTAGGCAAATTAATAAATTCCCTCAGTGGGGAACATATGTACAATTTAGTTGTTCAGTATTCATGGCTTAATAATTTTCTTGTATATTTGGTAGGGGGAGTGGTATCTGTCTTTAGAAAATATAAATCTTCACAATTTTTCTCTAATGTTATTCTTGGTCCAGTTTTCATTTCCGTAATCCACTTCTTACGGGAGAGTCCTATGGTTGTTAAAAGGCTCCTGCGTCTGATGGCCTAGTCAGTGGCATGACCATACTCCTCATAGCAAATGTTTTATTTTTCTTTTTTTCTTTTTTTTCAAAGTTTATTAAAATATAAAAGTTTCCATTTTCGCCCCTCCTCCCAACACCCTCCCACTCCCCCCACTCCCTCTCTTCTTCCCTCTCCATCCCTAAGAGCAGTCAGGGTTTCCTGCCCTGTGGGTAGTTCAAGTTCCTCCCCGCTCCCTCCAGGACCAGGAAGGTGAGTATCTAATCAGACTGGATCCCCAAAAATCCAGAATATGCAGAGGAAACAAGTCCCAGAGTCATTGTCAATGGCTTTTTAGAAAGACTTCGGGCCAGCCACATTCAGAGAATCCAGCCTCCTCCAGAGAATCTGGTTGGATCAAGCGCTCCTTCAGTCCCAGTCAACTGGCCTTGGTGAACTCTCATTAGATCAGTCGCCTTGTATCAGTGGGTGATCGCTCCCCTTGCGGTTCTGATTTGCTTTTTCATGTTTTTCCTCCTTCTGCTCCTCATTTGGACCTTGGGGGGCTCAGTCCGGTGCTCCAATGTGGGTCTCGGTCTGCATCGCCATCCATCGCCGGATGAAGGTTCCCTCTGATCTTGCCCTCCCTGCTCACGTTCTTCTTCCTGCTGCTTCTCGGTTGGACCTCGGGAGTTAAGTCCAGTGTTCCAACATGGGACCCCATCTCTATCTCCATCTATTGCCAGATGAAGGATCTCTCTGGGAAGAGCTCCTCAGCAGTGCAACCAGCAAATGTTTTAAATATAATAAGGACAGGCTTTTATTTCCTGGCCTTGAGTTCTAGCTGCTTGTATTTGGTCATTTAGTCAGCTAGATAATGAAGTCATTCATTTAGTGGCTATTGATTGAGCAAACAATAGGGCCAGACACAGAAATTCCAGCATTTGGAGAGATAGAGGACACATCAAAAGAGATAAGAAATGAAACTTACAGGAAAACTGGGGTAAGATGGTGGCTGGAAGCCAAAGAAAGGTAATATTTTAAGGTACAAAGAATTGGCATTTTTGTCAAAACTGTGGGCGATCTGCCTTAATTACAACATGGACTGGTCACCTCTTTCCAGTTAATCTGAACCCATTAGTTACTTGTCAATGGGAAAAAGCATAATTCCAGCTTACTTCAGTGAAGCAGAAACCCCAGCTCAGCCTCTCTGAAACACTCAGACAGCATGCAGACATTGCTTCCTAGCCAGGCAAACAGTCGTGTGGGTTTCTTGGGAGTTAGCATGCACAGCTCTTATTTCTAAAGCAGGTTAGACAAGGAGTTGTTTACTTTATCTGTAAGCAAGAACTACCCTTTGCAAACACATACTTACATACACAGTCACCTGTTACAATCACGCCATTGTGTCCGATTGTCTTGCATGTCTATCTAAGCTATCCACTTGAGATTGTGTCTCCTTTTGGTGGCGATATGGGAACGGATTGAGGGAAAGCCGAGGACAGTGCGAAGGAAGAGCTACTGACTGAGTCACTCTTAAGAGGTCTCGCGGAAGTCAACCTACTGTTGCTGCTGATAAAATAATGGTGTCTCTGTGTACAGAGGATGGAACGGATGGAGGATGGTAAAAGCGCGGATTCCCCAGGATACTCTCACACATCACATGTAGGTGGGGAGAAAAGTGGGTGTTTCTGGCTTGCACATATAAGTCAATAAATAATTGATCAAAGTAGGAATATGGGGTTTGAAAGAAAATTATGAGGCAGTTTATTTTGGTTTATTTATAGACTGTCCCACCATGTAGCTTTGGCAGGTTTGGAACTTTCTATGTAGACTATAACTTGGTATTGTAAGCCAAGTAAACCCTTTCTTCCCTTAAGTTCAGGGCGTTTTATCACAGTAATCTAAATGAAACCAGAACACTGAGTCACTTCATATCCAGATTGAGCAGAAAATGGTGGCTTAGCTGTTAAGGTAACAAAGGAAGTGACCATTACTCTTCAAGGCAGGAGGAGCACAGGGCATGAGGCTGGGTGTGGGGAAGCAGAACTAACTGAGCCAATGAAACCAGAAATATTGCTAGTGCTACAGTGGACAATAAAAGAAGCTCCCCAAACCATATGAATTGTTAAGTGAGAGGTATGTATGTGTGTATATGTATGTGTTTTGTGTGTATGTGTATGTTGTGTGTCTATGTGTGTGTACATGTATGTATCGATGTATTGTGT